TGGATCATCTTTTGCTTCAATGTAACTTCATCTGATTTTTTTCTAAAGATATTTTGAAGAAGAAACGTAAACTTTTTACAAATTAAAATGAGATACAAAAATGTAATATACATCAAGTGCAAATCGAAATTAGTCATATTTACTATGGAAGTAAATAAAAACGGTTTACATCACATTAAAATATAGTTGTAATGTCTGAATTATGGAAATTACTTATGCGAATAGTAAATAATGCTTTCTCATGAATATACCTATCAGTAGATGAGCATAAAAGCTAACCTCAAAGAAGAACGGATATATATATATATATATATATACTCCGATGATATTGGATTAGTAGCTGAATTATGTACATCACAGAAGGGTTATACATGGTACATTAACTTAAAAAAGCACCTTCAGGTTTACGGAAGTTTCATCGAACACAGTTTGTGTACACTTTGTTCTTATTCTTTTTAGATGAATATATCTAAAATTGTTCTAATGCATAAATCACTCTGTCAGGAACACATATATGGAAACTATATTCTAACATCATTTGTGTAATGAAAATAAGAATCCTTAATACCCTTTTATTGTCGTTACTTTTTTATAACATGAAATTTACAAAGTATTAAAAAAATATAATAATTTGGTGTTTGGATGTGAATAAGTACATAGATAGAATAGAACATACATTTGATAGTAATTTACAAGTAGAAGAGAATGTTTCTTTTTACAGAAGAAAAAAAGAAGAGAATTCCTAAAAAAAAAACGATAGAGCTAGAGAAAAACAATGTAATGTTGATTTCCTATGGTATCTCTCTCCCTTACCCTTCTGAAATGAATTAATTGAATATATATATATATATATATACACACTAATGATGAAGATAGACAGATTATATGAAATACAATTTATTTGAATAGAAGGGAGAATTTATTGAATAGCGATGTACTGGTAAATATGTCTTAATTGTACAAATACATACATAAATTCATATATGTACATATATATGTATACAAATGAAAGTCAGTAATCTTTGTTTTCATGGTCTACAAATGAAATGATAAATATTTCTTCGTCAAATCAATTGATGAAATGAACTAAATGACAGTTATCTAGCATGAAATAAAATGTTATCCATGAAATTTAGTCTTTACGTTTTAAATCATGGATCAATGTTAGTTGAAAGAGTATGAGATATTGAATAAAGCATATACTCCATGCTTCATAACATTTCGGTAGTAATCCAAAAAAAAGAAGAAAAGTTCTTCTCAATTAACTGTTTGAAGAAGTCAATTCAACTCTCTCTATTCCACTGACCTACGTAAATAATTGGATTGATTAGTTGTGGTGATAATGGGTTAAAGAAAATAATAATAATCGTTTAACATTCTTGTTGTCCATGGGATACTTGCATTGATACACTTGAAATAGTTGAGTTATTTAGAATGAATAAACTTTGCTTAACTGCTTAAGTAAATGAAAAAAATATTTTAATTATATTGGTTAGTAGAATATTACTTTTATAAATGATGACGTAATATTGAAATCTTGTTGTTATGTATGTATGAACTCCTAGCAGAAAGCTTTTTTTAAACCACTATCAATAAACTTCCTGTATTCGTTTACATTATCAAAAGATTACGTATATCATGGAATTCGTTCTTGAAGTTCTTTGATCAGAACAAAAGAAGCCGAACAAGTGGTCACAAATACCCTTAATAGGTAAAATTATAACTTCAGTAATTATAGGGTTGAAAAGTACTACACATTAAAAATCCTGTTATTTACATATCTAAATATTTTCATTAGACAAATCTGAGTAAAACAACAATAAGTTGGTTGATAATTTATGAAAGTTTAAATAATATTGAGACAATTGACGAGTCATAATAGAGCTTCCTATTTGACCAATACTCATTAAAAACATATAGATTAATTCATTATATCAGAAGGGGTTTTTCTGTAGATATTATAGTAATTTCAATAGTTAAGATCATGAGTTATTTGAAGCTAGACTACCATAGAAAACCTTTAAGCACTGGATGACCGTTTTATCCTATTGTGGGACTGTTCAGCGGTGTGTATCCACGATCCTGCCTCGCGGAATATAGAATGGATCCCCCATTTTATATCATCTTTTTTTCTAATTCCATTAAAATAACTTTCATATTATTAACCAGCTTATTTTATTGAGTTTAATGTTGAGATTTACCGACATTGCAAGTTAACGGTATAAGTAACTATAGAATAGAGTGATAGAGCTTATAAAATTTGGCTTTATTCCTTTATACTATTCAAATTTATATTAGTTTTATTCGATAATTCATTTGTTCCCTGAAGAAACAACTTAAACCAAGCAATCAAATATCAGAAATCCCACTTCATACTCACTACAATATTATGAATTTATCACTAATTTTAGTATTAACAAACTGTTTAGTGTTCAATTCATTCAGATTTATGTAATGATACTTACAGATAGCTAATTCTTAGTTTTTTTTCAATTGTCTATCTCCTGCTTAAAAATCTCATTTGCCCTATATGTTTGTTATCGTTATTTATATTGCACAAAAGAATTAATCATTCAAATATACAAAGAGATATACATATTCATTTACTTAAATTATAAAATATATGTTGAAATTCGACTTTTCTTCTCATCATATCACCTTCCCTTTTTCTTTTTTGAAGACTCAAAGTTTAGATCCTGACTAAATTTTCTGACTTTATCCTCCCCACGAAATAATGTTGGGTCCTCATATTCCCAAGTTACAGTTAGTTTAACTCTATTTAAAGCACATTTCCAGTATTGAGTAAGGAGTCCACTAGAACTGATTAGATGATAAGGATCAGCAACACTAGATATGAGGTCATTATGGTTTAATTCTTGTGAAATATTTTCATCAAATCTCTTGAAAATTTCATTAGTAGATGATCGATCACTAGAATAATCAGCATATATCAAAATTTTATTAGGTTCTTCATCATCTTTTGATGCATCCGACAAATTTTCCACATTTTTGTAAGAAGTTTGGTCAAAAACATGTGAATCATTAAGATAACTCATATCTGGTAAAACAGCTAGAGAACCCCAATAAGTACATTCATCAGAAACTTTTGTCGTAGAATGATGAGCTCCATTTAATGAGACTGTCTTAATTATGCTGCTTGATTCATTTTCTGTTTCTTCGTGGGCGGGTACTGCAATAATTTCATCAGCATTTAATAAGAAATCGTCTTTCTGTGAGCTGGACAAGTCAGTGATTGTACATGGTGTTTCGGAGGCAATCGGATTTGAACCCACGACAGGGTATGTCTCTGAAATGGACATTTCTGGCCCACTGGGAGCATCATGAATTGCTGCTACTACTTCGTTTACATCACCGCTTATCAGGGATTCACGAGGGCTTTCATGCACACGTTTGTACGTTCTGCAGTCATTTTCCGGCTCTGTATGCAAATTAGAAATTAATTTATCAACTGTTACATCCCCAAAACATGGATGGTTTAGAAGCCATGTGCGTAAATTGTCTAAAGCATTCAACTAGCTCTTTTTGAAACGCTGCTGTTGTCGCTCAAATAGCAATTGTAATTGATCGAAAGAGACAGCCATTTTCTTAATCAGCATGGTAACGAAAAATACGGTATGACTAATTAACAATCAATGTCGTTGAACGACACCGGTGAGAACCTTGTATGCTGATTCGTCGAAATAATTACACTGAATTTTGTCCAACTACAGGCTGACCTTGATTCATTAATTTGAGAATTGGGGGTTCAGAATTTTTTTTCACTCCGTCGCCATTTGTTATAACTTGTCAGTTAAATACAAGAATATCGTATATTATACGGAATATAATATCATACGAGAAAAAAATGGAATACTACACTGAATGATCATCACATTGAATCAGAACGGAGGTAATGCTGTACAAATCTCATCATGAGTAAATCAATTGAATTTTGACTTTTTTGTCTCATCATATCACTGATATAAATCTTAATTGTTAGTTAATAAGTTAAATGTTTGAAACGTAGTTTTAACTGTCTATATGATGATCCGTTATATTTCACTGAACAATATATAGTTTAACATTTCTTGCAACTCACTACAGTCTTATTAAAGTCTCAAGTTTCGTTAGAGTCGATCAAGACTTCAATAGCACTGACTATTAATGATTATTTCAAATCTATGAAATAGCATTTAGAAATACCATCTCTATTGTTCTATACATGTTTCTTCTAATCATCCAACATACTGTATCAAGAAGAAAGTTAGTTACCTTAAAATGAAATTTTAAAAAAAAACAACAAAAGAAAAACAATTATTTGGAGAGAAAAAAAGGTCTAATCATTCGATTAAAATAAATCGATTTACCATGGCAATGCAAATGAATTTATGAATAGATCATTCATCAAGATAATGGTGAGCTATTATCCTTTAAAAATGTTACATCATCTCATAAATATGTCATTTTGTTTAAATGTAAATTTTAATTTATTATTATTATTTATTTCATTGAATAATAATGTACATCATTTTTCGTTCTATGTTCAATGTCAATTTCATTTTAATTACCTTTCATTATTCCATATTTTGTTCTTTTTTTGTATTTACATCTTAATGGAATTTTTCTTTAAGTTTTACCTTGTTTTCAACTTTCTTATGTTTCCCCAAAGGTATCATCATTTTATTTATTTATTCATTATTATCGTTATAATTATCACAATGAATGATTCCTTTCAACGGAAAAAATAACAAGATTTTCGTTAAAGACAAAAAAACCCAGATCAATTCATTGCTTCTGTGTCTCTCTTTTTTTTCATCAGTGTTTATGTACATCACATTGATTTATATTTAAAAGGTCACCTTGTTGATCTAACTTTCGAGTTTATAAAAGAAGAAATAGAACCTGCTTGGTTTAAAAATAATTAAAAATAATAATGAAAGTGTGCAAAAATATATTAGGTGAATCTGACATGACGAAGAATCAATTCGAGTAAAGAAAAGATGATGAGGAGATCATCATCATCATCATCATCATCATCATCATCATCATCATCATCATCATCATCATCATCATCATCATCATCATCATCATCATCATCATCATCATCATCATCATCATCATCATCATCATCATCATCATCATCATCATCATCATCATCATCATCATCATCATCATCATCATCATCATCATCATCATCATCATCATCATCATCATCATCATCATCATCATCATCATCATCATCATCATCATCATCATCATCATCATCATCATCATCATCATCATCATCATCATCATCATCATCATCATCATCATCATCATCATCATCATCATCATCATCATCATCATCATCATCATCATCATCATCATCATCATCATCATCATCATCATCATCATCATCATCATCATCATCATCATCATCATCATCATCATCATCATCATCATCATCATCATCATCATCATCATCATCATCATCATCATCATCATCATCATCATCATCATCATCATCATCATCATCATCATCATCATCATCATCATCATCATCATCATCATCATCATCATCATCATCATCATCATCATCATCATCATCATCATCATCATCATCATCATCATCATCATCATCATCATCATCATCATCATCATCATCATCATCATCATCATCATCATCATCATCATCATCATCATCATCATCATCATCATCATCATCATCATCATCATCATCATCATCATCAACACTGGGACATTAATAACAATGTGAAAACAAATAAGTAACTATTCATAGTACACAAAAAGTAAACATCGGAAGTAAAACTGATCCTTATAATTATATTACGCATGTTGTTTTGATAACAATAATTGATTATTCATAATTAATAAAGTCATGCCAGTTAGTTCAACACCGTTTGTATCATTTTCTTCGGAAACAAACATACTTAAGTTCTTTTCTAATACAGTTTATTAATTAAACTGAAAAATGAATAAATCGTGTGAAGTTTGTTTTAAGAATAAATATTCAATCATTCAATGGAAAATAAAATAAATTTACATAGGAAATTATTTTAATTGAGAAAATGATGTTGTTAAGCTTTCTCTCTCTTCTCTTCTCTTTCTCTTTTTTTCCTCTCTCTCTCTCTCCTTTTTTTTGTCAATAAATATTCACTGTTATAGTTGAGGTGTTAAATTTAAAAGTCGAAAGGTGCATTGCAAATAGTGCTTATTTGTTGTTAAGGTGTGAATTGAACTGTACAATGCTTTCATTACCATTCTTACTTTCACCTAGTGAGTAAGAAAACGTTTTTTGAAATCTTATCAGAAAGAAAGATGAAATAAAAAGATATAAAGTCGATTCGCAAGAGGTGTAATTTAAAATGTCTTAACAATTCCTAGATACATTAAGGTTTTCAACAATCCTTGAACATTCAGCAATGGGATAATTGTATAATGTGATGAGGTAATAATAAAATATGGTAGTTAAGCATCAATTCTATGGAACAGTAAATCAACTAATGTACACATATCTTCGAATTATTTATTTGGCTTCTAGTTGTGTTCACTATTGTATTCAGTATTTTATATAAAAGTATATTATTTTGTTAGAACAAACCTATCCTAATATGAAGTTATTTCGTTTTTTGATCCCAAACAATTTGTGAGCTTACGTCAAATATTTAGTTTTCTCAATAGATATTGTTCGGTTACATCATATCTTTGGATAATATTTATTGACAAACAATTTTTTTTATTTTGAAAATCAAAACACGTTTGAGAAAGAATAAAATCCTAACTTATGACGGTGATAATAAAAGTAAAAGTCGACCGTTGGAATGGTAATTACATTGGTTAACTAGAAATCACATCTAGAATTTCACGAAATACTTCTAAATCAACTAAAATCTAAATGCCGCTTGCGAATCATACATTCTAAAGCAAATGGAATTCAGAAAGAATCTATGATAGAAAACGAACGCAGTTCATGTAACAACGAAGCAGTGGTAATCGATGATTCCATAATGTTTGGAAAGTTATAGATTGTCATTTTTAAAGATTCTCTGACTACGACGAAGCAGATATCCTTTACTAGCTTGATAATTATTCAGATAGTTATTGACGTAAGTCTATAAAAAGTTTTAATGTCCTAGAATATGTCAAAGGCATACAACTAGGGTGAATGAGATTTAGGAACAAGTCGTCAACGTATATGTATATATATATATAATCTAGATTTATGTCAAGTTGTCATTTAATAATGAATTTTATTTATGATGAACTAATTTTTCTTCTCCCTCCTACCACTTAGACATAAATTCAATGAGATAGGGCTAATTTCTTCCTTTAGTCCCTATTATAATCCGTTACTTGTATGCCAGCATAATAATTGTATTACTGTATTATACACAATATATATCTACTGACAATATTCAGTTAGAGAATAGTGATTAGCATAATTAATTTAGGCTAGTCTATTATAAACAGAAAAGGAAATGAGACAAAAAAGAAACACGCCTTTACATATATTCATTCTATGACAAGTATTATGGAAGTATATAAAAACAGATTAGTGATATTGTTTAATATGAAAATAATAATGAGAATATCTACTATACATTTTCCCCAGAATTATGTACTGCATTACATGAATACTTATTTGATATATAAGTAATTTATCATAGATTTGAAAAGAAAAACAACAGGCCAAATAACCAGATCAACAAAACAATACAAAAATAAATAGTTGTGCTAATTTCATTGTTAACTTCATTTCCATCGTTTAAAATGCAGTGAATTGATTATGTTAATCTTTGGGAACATAACCATTTATGAAGGGTTTAGTAAGTTGCAACATTTTTTTGTGTTTGGAATTACATTCAGAGTAATACAGAACCAGATTACACTGCATAAAGTTTATAACTCATTCAAGAAACGTGTTAACTAAATTCTATAAACAGTCAAGCAACATAAAAAGTTATAACTTGTATCAACACTTAAAAATAGGCAATGACTTCAAGTTGACTAACGATATGCCAAATCTTTTGAGAATGCTGAAAAATTGCTTAAACTATAACAAATATCAATCTGGGATTCAGGAATGTACTAACACAGGTTAGTCACGTGGCGACATAAAATGTAAATTTTTTTTGACATTACAGTGTCTGGAGGTGAGATGATTAGATTTTTTAAATGTATACAAACCGAACCTTAATATACACTGTTCCTGTTAGTATGAAGCACATATATAAGTATATAGTTTCTATCATTACAATATAGTGGCTTATCAATGGCGATTCATTTAAAATGTTATTATCCAGGTTTTTATTAATGTCAGTATTCATCTAAAGAATTTATTCAAACAGACAACTATGTCTATACGCCCAATAAAAATTTTGATCATATAAAATTTTGAACTTTTTGATTCAGTTTTATAATGAGAGGTTAATAATAAACCATTAAACTTGTCATATGGTCAAAGTATTTGAATCGGATAGTGATCATGAAATAAAAATATATCATTTTCATCTCGACAAACTTAATCATTCATTTTTTTATGCTAGTTGACACATATCAAATCTAAGCTAGAATACCATTGAAAACCTGGAAGCACTAGATGGATGTTCCGTCCCAGTATGGAACTCATTAGAAGTACATACCCACAATCCCATATGCGGGATTGGAATTCAGGACATTCGAGTTCGCGCGCTCATGTGCTCACTAGCGACTAACTTGGAGATGAATTTCCTAGAGCTCTAGTGAAAAGCTGTGACCAGTGGAGTTCAATCCGTGTTGGCTGGAGACAGTTATTCACCTCAGACAATCGATGAAGGGTTGCGCACGACCATGGATCGATTGAAGTTATATACTAACACCGTTGGATGCCGGCTGGCTCAGTGGTTTAGATGTCAACTGTTCATGCGTGTGTGAGATCGTGAATGCGTAACGCTGGGGAGTCCCATACTAGGACGGAACAGCCATCCAGTGTTTCTAAGTTTCCGATGGTGTTCTAGCTTAGATCGACTCATGAATTCAACTATTAAAATTACTACAATATCCACAAATTCCAATCCTGATATATCGAACTGATCTATTACTCAATCTCTAAACCAACTGAGATCAGTTGTAATTACAATAGCTACAAAAGAGAATCAATACACCGATGTTACTATATGCAAGTAATAATTATGATGGGGAAAGTAGTGGGAACATAGGAATTCTTAACACATGATAATAAATATCATTAAAGAAATTAATAAATTAGTCTTTTAGTGCGAATTTCTGATTACGTGACAATAATAATCACTTTAATGTAATTCATTATCAAATTTCTAAAAAATTATATTAATCCATAATTTAAACGTCAACTACCATTTCGTTACTATAATAATAATATCACTATTATTATTCTATTCATTATTATTATGTTGATCACAAATACCTTAGGAATTTTCACCGACAGGTTCTGGGTTCGAATCCCGATGGGGCGGGATCGTGGATGCACACTGCTGATGAGTCCGACAATAGGACGAAACGGCCGTCCAGTATTTCCAGGTTTTCCATGGTGTTCTAGCTTCAATTGACTCATGATCTCAACTATTAAATAATAATTTATATTTTAAAAATCATTTTTTAACCAACTGTTTACTATTTACGTTTTCTTTCAGCTTGTCAGTTTCTTTTCATTTCAGTGATTGTGTATTGACTAACTAAATATGTGATGACAAATGACCACGCATTGTTTTGTCTTGTATATATATCATTTGTATTAGTTATTTGAATCTTTCCATTGATGTCTATGACTGCAATTGATCAATCTCTTTTCGGTATATTTGTATAGCGTATGAATTGCCTCGACATTCGCATCATGTCATAGGGATTATAAACAGTGAAAAATGGTGGCTAGTAGTAGAATTCATAATGCCTGCTCCATCCTATTCGGAATTCATCTATTTTCTTAATAATTTCATTTAATATACAGGCCTATTAGGCTGTTATTGAAATTGTTTAAAAGGACGTTTAAGTACATATGGTTTCAAACTGAAATATTTTTTAATATTTGCAGAATTTCATATTGGTGGGTCAGAGTTATTTAAGGCTAAGCGATTACATCCTTGAATGTTTCAGCTTAATTTTTTTCAGCGTTGTATAGGAAATTATAAGATAATGAAGGACCCTAACAAGTGCTTGATTATTAACATTTTATTAATGTTAGCTAAGATCGAAAAAACTATGGTTTGATTGACCTTAAAACTAGTTATAATGAATTAAGTAAGTTTAATTTATTCTCTCTATTCTTTATTCTAAGTGTTGTTAGTTCTAAACTGTGCTATAAAAATAATCGATTGTATTAGAATGAACAACTATATCATTTCAAACTACATATAATAACTGAGTTATTCAATAAAGATTTCAAACAAATGCACAAAATATAGTTGATGGCATATGAATAAAACAAAATATCTATTGTAACATACAATAATAACAGCTACTGAACTTACTTACTTACTTACTTACACCAGTTACCTCTCGTGAAGGAGGATAGACCGCCCACCAACATTCTCCATCCAACTTTGTCATGGGCAATTCTTTCCAGTTGCTATTCATCCTTTTCATATCTTCTTCAAGTTCCAGACATAGTGTGTTCCTTGGTTTTCCTCTTTCCCGCTTCTCTTCGGGGTTCCAAGTTAGCACTTGCCTCATTATGCAGTTTGATTATTTTAGCAATGGATGTCCTATCGACCTCCAATATCTTTTCCTA